GCTGGGTCATATGATGATGACGATGCAATAATGCTAAAGAATTTCCTTTTGCACTAAATAGCTGATTCAAAGCCCATTGTAGTCAATAGAAAGACTCCTGTTGATTTCAATGGGCTGGGGATCAGGCCCACTGACTGACAACTCAGGGTTGTCAAGAATCACTTAGAGTTCCAGGGGTAACACCTGTATCTAGCAAGTTTACATGTAATGTATTGTTCTTCTGGAACATGTGCCATAACTATAAGTTACATGTCCACATTTGCACTACAGATGTTCTTCTTCTAAGACTGTACTTGTCAGCATCTTTATTGATAACTTACCTTGTGAATTTTTGACCAAAAAAAAAAAGAATATTACAATGTTTCATAATTTATTTTGTCTGTCTAGTTTTCTTTTTGTAATACATATGTACAGGTGGTTTGACTTTTAAACAGAGCTGTATAAAGATAATTCTGATTGCATTGAAAACAGGGTTAGTGGTATGCATGCAATATCGAATTTACACACGGTCTCAGTGGATTGAAATGTTTTATACTGTGGATTAATGAGGGACCCTTTTGATGTGAATTTGATTTGTGAACCAGGAATTCTGAGTTATAGTGTAAAGTTGTTGTATAAAACATCATTTTTATTTTCCAGTGACCATTTTTGTACAAAGGAATTGCTGAGCTACTGTATGACTGTCATTGGAATTGTATGGTACATTTCATAGCATGGTAGTACACAGAACTTATGCTGTTTGGCACGTCTCTAACATAACATTACTCATCCATCCTCAAAAATATGAAACTTGTACAGTAGATCAGCTGCATTTGAATTAAGGATCACTGCAAATACTAGAGATCCCAATATTGTCCAATTACTGGCATTCTTAATGAACAGATTTTAAATCATCCAAATACATTTCTACCTATTTTCAATAGGATCACAGAGCACTTGTTAAGAGTAAAAATAAGATTCTGTTCAATTACTATTGGGGCTACTTATAGTAGTAACAATTCTTGTGGTAAAAAGTACACATTTTTGAGGTACAAGTATAAATAGCAATGTCTCAATCATAGCATACATTGCATATTAAAATGGTTTGAATTTTCTCTGTCTTCTATAGTCTTGAATCTAAGCTTTGACTAATTTATGAGACTGATTAGTTCTGCAAATCTGACTGTACACTCTTAGACTTTTCACATTTGGACCTTTGCACAATAAATGTTACGTTACCTTAAGTATCTGGTTTAATGAGGGTGTTCATGTATATGGTACTATCCAGCAGAGGGTTTTCTCTGTCTGCAAATTTAAATGAACTATATTGTATATGTACTTGTAAAAATGTGTTAAATCTATATTTAAAAAAATTTAAACGTTGTTAAATAAATTCATATGAGAACACTTAATTCTGTCTAACGAATGCTGAACTTTTACTTTACAAAAATAGTTTTTATTTTGTTGACTGTATTTCCTTTCTTCATAGCAGCCATAAAGCCCTTATACATATTTTGACATAAAATAATACATGTCGATATTATAAATGAACTGATTTGTTTAGTGGTGGATAAACTGGTGATAAGAGGGACAGAGGTCTCAGTGACAGTGCTATAATGCTAAATGTAAATCCTTTGTCCTTAATCTTGAAATCTTTAGTGAGCATTGATCTGTATCACAAAACTACCAGACAATTTGGCACATCTGAAACTTAGCCAAGAGGGTCCTAGGACTGGAATAGTAAAGGTATTGCAGTTCAGAGTGGAAGAATTTTTGGAAGAGTTGTTTGGGGAAGCTTGGATAGCCCTTGCCTGCAGTATGGATACCCCTGATTCAGAAAAACACTGGAGCATATACTTGATTCCTATTGACTTCAATGGAATTAAGCACATGTTTAAGTTAAGCATGTGGTTAGTGCTTCCCTGAATTGGGGCTCATATCTGGCCCGAACTAGTGTCTATTAAAACAACAAGGAGTCCGGTGGCACCTTAAAGACTAACAGATTTATTTGGGCATAAGCTTTCGTGGGTAAAAAATCTCACGTCTTCAGATGCAACTTTTCCCACGAAAGCTTATGCCCAAATAAATCTGTTAGTCTTTAAGGTGCCACCGGACTCCTTGTTGTTTTTGTGGGTACAGACGAACACGGCTACCCCCTGATACTTAGTGTCTATTAGTAGCTCATTTGCATATAACGCCACTGATGTTTGCAGCATTTCATAGATACAGCCGGCCAAAATTACAGTGACTGGTGCTTTTCAGAAACGAGGCTAAAATTAGCTCAGTTTAGAGAAATACAGCAGCTGCATTTAAAGAATAGCTGGAGGCAATATTTTGCTTTCTGCCATAGCGTGGAGCTATGGTTACCCCATATGAAGTATTCATTTGTTTCATCCGCTCCAGCATAGCTGTGTCATGCTGCTGTAAGTGACAAGAAGGTGGCAGTCAAGCTCCCTTTTGAACACTGCTGAAGGGGGAGGGGAGAAGCCAGTTAGCAAGTTATTCAGCATCCCCTGAATGTGCCCTTTGATCCATGCCATGCCAGGATTGCTGTGGGATTACTGTATTGGGGGAGTAACACATGATGCTTTCCCAAGGCTCTTCACTAGACAGCCTGCGGCAGAGACCTTGTGAAATGTGCACGAGCCATAAGCGTCCAAGTGATACAGTGGACATAAAGAAGTCTTATTGACCGTGGGTCCCCTCCCCCGCTAATATTCTGCCTTCGTGAGGGAAGGAAGCCGGGATGGCGGATGGTCATGCAAATCAAGGAGTATTCCTTGGGCAAGCATTTTCTGACATGCTTTGGCCAACGCCCAAAGTAGAGCTGTGTGACAAAGCTTGTACGTCACCAACATGTGCCGATCACCGTCCCGTAGGAGTGACAGCACAGCCTATGGAATTTTATAGAAATCACTGTTTTTCAGTGGAAACAAGGAGACAGGAGTTAGTGATGATCTTCTTTAAACTTCCCCTCAACTATATTTATTTCATTTCCCTTGAATTTGGGAAATACAAGTGCATAGATAAACAAATACGCAATTAACCAAGTGAATCAGATCAAAATTTGCTACACCTCTGTAGAGGTCTCAGAAGGCTCTGTTTAGTTTAGCTCCATCAGTTCCTAAAGCAAATCTCTCTCTGCCTCCTATGGGAAGGGGGCACCCTGGATGGACTCATGAGGCCTTCTACAGGACCCAGGAAAGCTACGGCCATTTCCGCTGTCCAGGGAGAAGAGAGCTGTGAAGGGACACCGTGGAGCTGAGGTGAGCAGGTCAGGAAGGTGGCCAGTTGACGTACAAATAACATGGGGGTTGGTGGGTCCTGTAGCCCAAAGCAACACAAAGATAGGAGCAGTAGGTTGCATCCACCAATGTACCACCCACCATGGAATGGTTTTGCTACTGTTACGACTTAAGCCCTGTCCTCTCTGAGCGTGCAGTAGAGCCCTTTCGCTGAATCAAGTATTAGTTTAGATATCTAAACTACCAAGAAAACGATGCAAAACCTCTGGATGCATTCATCCCACATCTCAACTCAGTGCGAGTTCTGTAGGGGATGGTTTTGCTACAACTGAAATGTGCTGCCACACCAAAGATTTCAGCCCTAATGATAGAGTTGTATTTAGTTCCTGTAACCATAAGCAACTAATACTTCCAGCAAAAATTGAATCCCACACTTAGAATGTGCATTACTTTATTAGACAAGGACTTGCTCAACACAAGGCTTTGTTTTATTCTAACAGCCAGTGACTCGGCAGCATTTGTCTGCTTTTTCCAGTTAAGTAGCTAAGGATATTCCGATAGCAATGAGGAGGTGAATCTGGAGGCTACAAAAGTAGGTGGAACTTGGTAAATTGTTACCCAAATTTTCACTTTCTCTTCTTATGGCTGAGCGTACGATGCTTCAAAATGTCAGAGTCTGAAGGACAATATTTTTAGCCCTCTTAGGTATTCCATCATCAGGTTTATCTATTAATGCTTTTAGGGTTAGAATTAACCAGTGATGCCCAAAGCACAATAATGTCTTAATAATGTAAGTGCCGTGAGTCAGGGGAAGATCAAAGGGATATGACACGAGACTGGACAAAGGTGTTTATGTTGCATGAATAGATTGAGTGTATTGTGCAAGAGCCTGATTTATTCGAGTGGCAAAGCTATCGTTCATTTTAACAGGAACAGCAACAGACCATATAGACCTAATCCACTGCCCCCTGGAATAACTAGAGGACTCCTACTAGTGGGCAGTAGATCAGGCAGTAAAGCCCAAATCCTCAGAGGCACCTAACTCCCATTGTTTTCAATAGGCGTTAGGTGCCTAAATACCTCTGAGAACCTGGGCCTTAGTGAATTAAAATGTTTTTAGGGTTAAAATCCCATTGAATACAAAGTCCAGATCACTTGCTTTCCCATTGGAATGACATCTATTCTCAAATACTTACAATCCTCCTTGTTCTATCATTTATGGGTATGAGCTTTAAAAATATCAGGCCAGTTCTTCCCATGGTATAAATAAATGTGCATGGGTTCATTGAAGTTAATGGAGTGACATCAGTTTACAGTAGCAGAGGATCTGGTCGCTAGTTTTAATTAACTCTGAATAATACAATGAACGTTAAGTTATGGAGATAGATGCTAAACAATTATCTTTTCATAACCTTGAATCAAGTCTCGGCAGAAATCAGTATCACAAATCCTGCAGCTACTTTCACGTGAGTTTAATAGGTCTGTGCTTTCAGGTTATTTTACATCATGAGAACCAGTGTTACACGTTAATAAATCTCCTCTGCTACAAACACGCGACACTCAGTGACTTCGAAGGTAGTGGCATGCTCATGAATGAGGGTAGAATTTGGCTATTTACAATGAATGCATTTTTTTCCTTCTTAACCACATGTACTCTCAACTCCCTGTTTAAATATTTATCTTCAAAGAGAAAAAAATGATTCTATTAAAATTGTTTATTAAAATGCAACATTTTAAGACAAATTACGTTTTTTTTAAACTTGCCAACATCATCTAATCAGGCATTCCACAGAAAAGCAATAGAAAGGTTTAGTTCTATGTTGATTAACCTCTTGTTCTATCTTTTATCCATCTGACGTACTCTGATACTTTGGTGTAGATACCATATTTGCCGTCCTTTGCACACTCTTCCCCCCAGCTGGTTATTCCAGTTAGAAACCAGGTACCTTCTATTTCTGTGGTATGAGGGCCCCCGCTGTCCCCTTCACACGTATCTTTAGCCTCTGAATGGTAACCCGCACAGAACATATTCTGTAAGATAGAAAACCTGCTGCTTCTCATGCACGTTGCACGGTCAACGAATGGGACTTTCAGAACCTGTAGGACTGTGGCCACCCTTCCCCGGAACAGCTGGCTCCCCCAGCCACTCACGGTGCCAGTTCCATGTTTGACGAGGCTGTTGGTGAATTCCTTGCTGGCGATGCAAATGGGGGTGACGTAGCTGTTGAACTCTAGCGGGGTCCCAAGCACTAGCAGTGCTATGTCATTATGGTACTTCTTTTGGCTGGCATTATAGGTGGGATGAGGAAAGATGTTCACCACTTGGCGATATTGCTCGGTACCGTCATTGACTTCCGTGTTGTGTTCCCCTGGTGAAATAAACGTGGTGCTTTTTACAATTACAAGCAACCTGTGGGTGACTAAATACACTATCAGGGTTAGTAACTACACATACAACTGATACTTTTAGTGTCACTAAGGCTCAGCTGGGAACCAAAATGTCATAAGTTCAAATCCCACCCTGGGAATTGGCTCAGACCCAGTGGCGATAGTGCACTGCACTATGAGGCGATACTAGTTCTGCCATCTGTTGGATGAGACAAGGTTCACTGTGCGTGTTACTGTATAATCTATTTGTTGCTATGTGTTTGTGTCACTGCAGTCTATTAACAGATCTCACTAAGGCCCTAATCCTGCAAAGGGAGAGGTTGGCAAAAACTTGCCAACTGCAGAACTGAGGCCAAAGTGTGTGATGATCTCCTCATCTAGGGTCTGATCCTGCCCCCTTTTGAAAGTGACTTCACTGGAAGCAGGATCAGATCCCCTAGTGTCTGCCCTACAAGGAGTAGGAAACCAAATACCAGTGATAGCTCGTAAGTAGTTTCCTTATGCTATGTGAGAGAGTCCCGTGCTGCAGAGCAGGTTATGAGTTAAGTCCCTTATGGTGCAAAAGTAACCCATTGATGAGTGTGTGCTATAGGCTCCCTTCTGTGCTGATCCCGGGAGGCGATGAATTGGTACAGTCCTCAAATCCAGAGCCTTGGCTCTTTTCTTCAAGCTGCAGCAGCTCATACTTTTAGCTCTAGAGGTGCCTGATGCGATGACCACTCTCTTGAGGTGACAGACCAGGGACTGCAATGAGCTGCTATGGTCTGAGATAATGCTCTATAGCTGAGGGCTCTAACAACTCATATCCTTTGTGGAACCTGCAACACACACGCACCAGTGGGTTACACATACATCAAGTTTAGCTGACCACGTTGAATGATGTATCAGACCAGAGACGGTGGCCGCCCAGCTAAAGATCCAATAGTACTGTGTTAAAAAACACACACAAAAAACCCCCCAAACCAGTTGGGGGTAACCCTGGCCTCATAGCCAAAATGTTCGGTTGGGAAATAGGGGGTGGTGATCAAAGTTTTGTAGTGGTTGGGATAACAGAAGTTTGGCGATTCTTTGCAGAGTTGTAAGGAGGAGCGTTGTCCTTGGATATTACAAAGTCTCCCGAACCAAGAATATATTTTAAAACAGACCCCTTATTAGCAAACAATACTCCAGACCCACAGCAACCAGCAGCCATTCTGTATCTTTGCCAGAAGGACCGCGCCCCCCATAGAGTTAGATGCAGGTAGTTGTTGCCAGCAACTGGAATATTAGGCCCTACAAAGCAAGTAGATGCAAAGTCTCTGTTCCAAAGCCCGTCTTTCCCAGCGCCTGCAGATCCCCCTCCCCCAGCTTCCTACACTTTCCTCTGCTGAGGATAAAAATCAACTGCAGGCAGTTTGCTGTTTAGGGCTATTGCAGCTGATTTTTTGGCAGGCTTATCCCTTCCTTAAAAGGTTTTTCTAGACAAAAAAGGGGGAATTTGTCAAGACTTCAGGTGTTTCGAGGCTGCACCGCATTAAGATTTATCAGAGAAGTCCTTTCCTTCCCAAAGGAAAGTCGACCTGCTCAGGCAGCTTGCTAAGTAGCTCTGCAAGGAAACCAGAAGCAAAATCACTTCCCCCCCTACTGTGACCAACATCCTAAATCTGCAGGTAACTAGGGTGGGATGGAGGGGAATCCTGAGACCTGCTCAATAGCTTGTCACAAGCCACCCACTTCTCTTTTCTGTGGCCCAAAGTGGGTCGGGAACGTTTAGCCTCTGCCTCAATCTTCCTACGAGCTTTGCTGCAGTCTCTAGAATCTGAGCTGTTCTGTCTGTTGTATTCGCAGTGCTTCTGCTTTTAACAGTTTATTGGCTTGCTGCTGAACGTGCCACGAGAGAGCCTGAAGTCAGACCATCAGTTAGCTCTCTGTGTTCTTGTTAATGGTATTGTCTGACTGGCAGCTTTGCTCATTACACTGTTTCTGAGCCACCCTCATTGTGTGTGTGTGTGGGGGGGGGTGTTTTCAGTGCATTAGGATATGAGATATAAATGAGGGAGTAGGGATGTCTTTTCAGATGACATTACTAAGCTGTAAAAATAAGACACATATGGGGGAGACTTTGAGGGGGTTTTTTTCCTATTGTTTTTTCTTATTGATATTGCTGCATAATTGTTGCGGGACAGCCTGAATATATGCCCTATGTGGGGGGTAATTTTAACGCCTTTATTTTTGTTTGCTAAATATTTCAAGGGGGGCGCTATTGTGCTATATTTAAAGCTAGGTTTTTGGCATGGATGGAGGGGAAAGTGCAAGGTGCTTGATGTGAAAACATCAAGTCACTGTGAAAACCTGCAACCCCAGATTTTTTTCCCTCTTTACTTGGTACCTGTCAATAAAATCCACTCCAGTAAAACCCAGCTGTGCTCCTGAACAATCATCCTCTATCCCAGTCGGAGGGGTGTGAAACATTTGTGATGAAATTAGAACTGGATGAACTTGCAAGAAAATGCAAACCCAGAAACAGACCCATTTCCAAGCAAAAAATGGGCCCTTCAAACGTGAAACTGTTTCCGCTGTATGAAGAGCAGAAGTTGTGTATTCACAGTTTAACAGATACGCTCTATCACCCTTGTGAACTTTCAGGGAGGCAAAACTGGTTGAAAGTAAATGGTAGAAAATGTGGTACTCAACCTTCTGCAGACCCTGATTCTGTGCAGGTGCAGCCTGTACTGGCATGGAGCTCTGCTGAAATCAGTCCCAGGGGCTTTTTGTCTTAAGCCTTTTTGACAATCCCACTCTTAATGTCTGAGTTGGTCCAAATTCAGTGACAATTATAAATATACCCAGATCACCTAACTTTTAGTCTGGGTGTGTTGCACGTTTCAATTGAATCTGTTGTTATTGGCGGCTGCTACTAACTAGATTTGTGTCCCATGTGCTCAGCAGTTATAATATGAAATAGACACTTCATAAACAACTTGAGGAAACTGACTTGTGAACCATCACCTTTTTACCCTTGCCAAATCCCTTGCCTTAGTTATGGGGCCCTGCGCTGAATTCTCTTGAGGTTTCCCATAGGCAATCAATAAAAGCTGAGTAGCTGGCAGGGACCGGGACAGCGGGTTGAGGGGGGAAATAGCATTGGTAAAGATGCAATGAAGTCATTTTGTGGATGTGTCAGTTTTGGCCTGTCTACACCTCACAGTTCCTCACATACAAGTTCAGTTCTCTACTTCAGTCCATAATTTCTACTTTCTACAGAATTTCAGTCTTTACAGGATCCATTTCTGCTTCTGCTGCAGGATCATTTGGATCATTGAGCCCTCAATTAACTTTCAGATCTGTGCGACGTTTGGCCAATGAACAGTTATTTTTATGAAAGTTTAAGGCCTGACAACCATGGAAGCAGAAATGCAGTTTTTAGCCGCCGGCAAGACTCTAGTTGGTCAATGCATTTGGAGCTGTGCGGCACACTGCCACCGATAGTCCTGTATTAGTCCCATCCGCTTTATAGCCACAAACGCGGATATCCGCAAAGCATTTGTGTGGATGAGACGTGCATACAGATTTTGTATCCACGCAGGGCTCTATTTGTCAGGTATTTCATGTTTTGTGTCAGCTAAGGCTTCTGAGGGGAGACTTGTCATATTCTGAGTGGTGGTTTTATGGCTTTTTGTTTCACTAAAGTGAGACCCAAAAACTCCTCCCTTTTAGGCCCTGGTTGTTGGGAGCCATGATCCTGGAGACAACACTAAAGCCACCTGAGCTTACTCTTCTAATTTACTATGGGCCAGATTTTCAGTTGGCGTAAACTGCTATAGCTCCATTGAAGTCAGTTGACTTTAATGGAGCTAAGCCAATTTATACTAGCTAAGGACCTGGCCCTACATCTTTGTTTTCTATAGTCAGTGGACACCTTAAAGCCTGTTACATTACAACTCTAGCTGTACCATGGCACAGTTGTCTGGCCTGGACAGAGGCATCCATGTTCTAATACAGTTTGTACGTACAGCTGGAGTGGGATAATGTGGCTATGAGACTGTAACACAACTCTTCTTCCCTTCCTGCCAAAAAACATGTTGTCCCATCAACCTAACAAACAAACCCTGCTGGAATATGGATGCCAGTCACAGGTCTAGGGGAAGCTTTGCCATGATAAACATGTTCATAAACTGGATAGCGCCAATTTTATTTAGCATGCCTAACTGAATATCCACTAATGCATTCAGACTTCCTTTTGCTTACCTGCCACGACAGTAATCTGTGCGCCAGGCTCAATGCAGTGCGCTGCTGTTACGATCCATTTTTCATTGACAATAGACCCTCCGCAGAATCCTACTCCATTACTATTCTGCAAATGAACCTACAGAGAAAGAAATCCAAGCCTTGCGTCCCACACAAACCAGTAATGAAGAGAAATCAAACATCATAGGTATATTAAGGGAGCGGACAAAGGGTGAGGAACAGCCACTGCTAAATGGTACATGCAAAATTGACACTGTGAAAGCAACCACCCACTTTCCCTCATGCTCAAAGACAATTTCTGAGGAGTTCCTGAGCATCCTTCCTCCCCTCTTGAGGTATTCCTGTCCCGTCCTGCTGGTTTGACCACATTTCACAGGACAACCTTACCAATGGCTAAATACCATCTCCCATCCCTCCTCTGGCTAGGTCATGACAAGGGGAAACCAATCTAACACAACGTGAAGTTCAACTCCCCTCACAGTCATTCCAGACAGACTCCTGAACAGGTTATGTTGGCCACCAGTGAGAACAGTGGCAAGGGACCAGCTCCTCTGCTATCTTAAGGCAGCTAGGTGCTGCGCCAGTGGTAGCCAGGGGACACAGGCCTACATGTTTTACATTCCAAAACTTCATTTCAAATTAAATATGCAAACTTATTGGGCACAATTAATTTAGAAGAGGGATTTCCCAACCATGTTGTTCCTTAAATACCACACGATCGCTACTAGAGATCAGTTTCCTTCTGAAAGTGTACCTGCTGCCTCTTTAGCCCCGAGAAGCAGAATTTTAAGCATGAGAGATCAATACTTATGACTAAGAGAAAGAAGCCTACATACTACAAGAGGTTTGCACCGAACAGGATCTGCTCTACAATTAAAATTATTTGCTACTGATTTGAGATGTGACCCAAACTAATCTCCAGATCCAACTGTCCCCAAGATCTGAGACAGTTTAGATGAAGGTCTGAATTCTGTGTCTTGGGCCCATGTCCATTAGCAATGTCTTAGATTTCAAGTGACGTTAGAGGCCTTCTCCAACATTAATCAGGCTGTTTGTGCCAGTCCATGACGGAAGTTACAGCACCATAAATTCTTGCCCAGAGCTGGTGTAGTGGTGCATGTTGTTAGTTGTTCTGGGCTACCTTTTCCCTGTGTCCTTGTCTGTCTCAAGTAGACCAGCCCAGGTGTGGGGTTTTCTGCCCGAAGTTATCCATTGCAGCCACTAGAGAGGCTTCTCCTTCAGCTGCCAGGAGCGCCGCCTTTCTTGTGCTCTCCGGCTATCTTCCTGCACGGAGTGATTCGCTCACTCTTTAGAAACCATCCCTCAACAAGAACTCCACACAGAAACGTCTGAAGGTGTTGGAGAGAAGAGAATATTGACCAGAGAAAGCTTGGGGTGGTGGGGGAGGGGGAGGAGGGAAGAGGTGGAGGAGAGAGACAAAGGGGGAGAAAAATAGGTGGATCCAGAAGGCAACTCCACACTTGAGAGGGTGGGGAAGAATGCCCCAAGGAGTAAATGGAATGGGGACACAGAAGGGGGAGATAGCTTGTAAAGAACCCAAATGGAGTACCGGACTACTCAGAAACACATTACAGGAGGTAGCAGACCTTCTGACCATTGCCAACTCTTCCAGGGTAGCAGGTCTACTAGCTACTTCCCCATGTGATGGTGATAAAAACTGGGAACGGGGAGGCACCCATGTTTAGGGTGGCAGAAGAGTCGCATGGCTTGGTAAAGGCCTCTCTAGAGTTGGATAAGCATCAGAATTTGAAGGGGTTTTTCCAGTCCTGTGTGGTTTCCCCCTTACTCTTTTTAAAGGTGTATCCTACCGTGGTGTCTCCTGTGTATGATTTTATGTCACTGAGATGAATCATTGTGTAGTGGTGTATCATCACCGTGCAACATATGGAGCTGGAGAATGTAGGGCTTTGAGCATCTCTGGGCTGGTAGTCAGAGCAAGACTGCAAGCTTGGTCATTCCTGGAGACGATGGGTCTGTTTTTTTCCCTTGATTGCACCTAAATGGCCCTGACATCTGTCAATTTTGGATTCCAATGAAGAGCCTAGTGTCAGCTTGTTTGTGACCATCTATGCTCACATCAACACAATTGTTTTGCTGTCATCCTTAAGAGGTAAGGCAAAGGGTCACTTCTGCCTGCTGCTAACCTTCTAACTTAAACCCCCTTCACTTCTCGGGTTCTTCAGCAAAGCTGTCTCTGCCTCTTACTGAGCTCTCTTTTTCGCTCCCTGGCCTCCTAGAAACACCTTCTTAAGAATGTCATTCTTCCTCTGTTTGAGACAGGATTAAAATACCTCCACTTGATCTGTCTGAGTGAAGATTTTATATCCCGTTTTCTGCAGCATCTAGTCATTGGTCTTGCAATTGATACCGGCGGTGCTGGGGCTCAAGATATCAAAGTTTGTACCTCATACTGATTTTATTATTTCACTGTTTAGCTCTCTCAGCCATCGCTGGATGCATCAACCTCATCAAAGCCAGGATAACCGTGGAAGTCTTTGAAAAAGGTTCCATTTAGTAACAGTTTCTTCTGCACCTCTCTTCTGTTGCTCCTTGTTTTTACAACTGTTTACACAGCAGTTGGTGGGTGGAGTTTTATTTGCATTTCCCTGGTCCAGACGTCACAATATTTCTGTTTTATTACATCCCTGTTGGTTTGGATGAGATGGTTGTGATGTCACTGTGATGTTGCAGTCTATATGATTTTATGAAAGTATTCTGATGAGTGTGAATATAATGGAACTAAAATATGCTTCATGCAAAAGGTCTCTTGTAAGGTATCATTACAAAGCTTATAATCTACTGAGTGTGGTCATCCTATTTGTATAAATGTATCACTCTTGTATCTGAAACTAGAACTATGAAATATAACTCTGAAGGCCTATTGTAATTATGCAAAGTGTGGGCCATTAATGGTGGTTTGGAATCTTGATGGCTCCCATCAACCAGGACAATTGACTGTGGATGGCTCTGTTGGCAGGCAGGCCTTCCTGTGAGTCAGGCTGGGAGGAATGAAGGCTTGGGGTCTAAAAAGTGACATGTGATCATGTCACCTGAACTGGAATCCATCTTTAACCTGGTGTTTTTCCATTGAGAAGGAGGGTGGGAACCCAGAGGGACAAAGGATTCCCGCCTTATGCAAAAGATATATAAGTGGGTGGAACAGAACAAATTGGGCGGCCATCATGAGAAATCCCCTACCTACCACCTGAGCTGGAACAAGGGCTGTACCAGGGAAAGGATTGTGCTCAGACTAGGAAGGCATCCAGTCTGTGAAAGAAAGTTATTGAAACATCTTTGAGGGTGAGATTTTATCTGTATTCAGTTTACTTGGAACCACTTACATCTTACTTTCTGTATTTAATAAAATCACTTTTTACTTATTAATTAACCCAGAGTATGTATTAATACCTGGGGGGGGGGGCAAACAGCTGTGCATCACTCTCTCTCAATGTTATAGAGGGTGAACAATTTATGAGTTTACCCTGCATACGCTTTCTACAGGGTAAAACGGATTTATTTGGGGTTTGGACCCCATTGGGAGTTGGGCATCTGAGTGTTAAAGACAAGAACACTTCTTAAGTGGCTTTCAGTTAAGTCTGCAGCTTTGGGGCATGTGGTTCAGACCCTTGGTCTGGGTTGGAGCAGACGGGCGTGTGGCTCAACAAGACAAGGTGCTGGAGTCCCAAGCTGGCAGGGAAAGCAGGGGCAGAAGTAGTCTTGGCACATCAGTTGGCAGCCCCCAGGGGGTTTCTGTGATCCAACCTGTCACAGTCACAATATCTGTTTGTGACTTCTGGTGAGGAATAAGCAGATGAGACTCCTTCAAATATATATAGGACCAGTTTATCTGTTGATGTTAATTATCATAGCTTCATTGAAGCCAGTGGAAGTGCACTGACTTACACTCACTGAGGATCTGGCCCAATCTGTGTTCTCATATAGGTGTTCCATGGTAAGAGAGGGTGAGTAAAGAGCATATTTATATGATGCCATATGTGTGCATAGCACTCGCCAGGCAAAATGAAGGTCTCGGACCCAAATCTAAGACCCAATCTTGCAAGTGTTGGCAGATCCTTCTGGAGCCCCCTCAAGTCAGTGGGTTTCCGCCTGGGTGCAGGGGTCTGCCCTTGTGGCTCAGACTGCAGGATCAGAACCTTAAATTGTAAATTCTGATTCATTCAGTGACAATATCATGAAAAGCGGCCCACAGTTTAGTCTGAAGTTTTAAAACATGGCTCTGTCTCTTCTTCATTGTGAAGTTGTGCCCCAAAATGTCAACATGTCCCCATAAGTTTTGTTTGATTGGAGAAGTCTTCCCCTTTGGCTGCTTGCAGTGAAGTGCTTTGCGCCAGGGCCGGCTCCAGGCACCAGGCACCCAAGCACATGCTTGGGGCGGCACCTGGTAAGGGGCAGCGGGGGGAGCGTGGCGCGGCATTCCGCGGGGGGGGGGGGGTCCGGCGGCACGGGGGGGGGGGGCTCGGAGGGGGCGGCGCTTTTTTTTGGTGCTTGGGGCAGCAAAAAAGCTAGAGCCGGCCCTGCTTGGCGCGCTCATGTATTATTCTGCCAGCAGCCAAAATTGGCTTGATTGTCCCATTTGGACAAAGATGCAGTCACTCTGTCTCCTAGCAAGTTCCCAGTGTGGCCCTGAACTGGGCAAAGTATGTTGCTACAGCATAGATAATGTACATGGGCCAAAAGACTCTGAGATTTGAAGTGTGAGACACTGGCTTCAAAGAGCATATAGAAGAAATTCTGCTGTGTACAAAATGACATGAGAGCAATCAAGTTTAGCAGGATAACAAACAGGAATCAAACATCCAGTACCTGCCAAGGAACTTCACCTTTCCCGCTTTCCACTCCACCAACGACTCGTGTAACTTGCTTAATGATGGGTGTGATTTGTGTGGTATTGTCTGTTGCTTCGTCGTGATCATCGGTAGAATTGTAGTACCACTTGTCAAAGGTGTTTATGGCTCGGGTGTTCTTGCTTTTGGCTTCAGGAGCTGTAATCCTCCCACATGGAAACGGCACTGTGAGAAGAATGCAGATTCATAAGGTAGCACTTCAGCTGGCCATGCATCATATTAAGTGTTATTACAAACAAAGTGGCAAAACTGGAGCTAAATGTTTCACGCATCTCATCGGCAGGATGATGAAGGAGCTCCAGGGGAGTGGGCTGATTTAAGTGGTTCATGTTTGTTTGAATTAATTTATGGTGATGTAAGTAGCTCTCATAGTCAAATAAACACAACAATAAACTCCATCCAAAGGTCAGAAATAGGAGCTCCTTGGTAGTGCAAGCACAAAGTTTTACCAGGTTTTAGAAATCAATTTTGAGGGACTTTAAAATGGAAAAAAAGCCCTGTATATATGTGCACATGGGGATGTGATTAACTCAGGCCTTTATTCAGCATGGTACTGGCATATGCCTAACTTTAAGCATCAGAATAGTTCCATTGACCCAAGGGGTCTACTTGCATGGTTAAAGTTAGCATGTGCTGAAGAATCTGGCTGAATTGGGGCCTCACATGGCATAACTCTGTTGTAAAGTCCTTGTCATCGAACCAGCAGTTTTATTAAGAGACTTCTAGGGGCTTGGAATTGTGTTGCACGGAAAGGATGTCACGGGGTGGGGCCAGAAATGAGGGGTTCAGCGTGTGGGAGGGGGCTTCAGGCTGGAGCTAAGAGTTTCGGAGTGCAGGGGGGTGCTTTGGGCTGGGACAGGGGGTTGGGGTGCGGGGTGTGTGAGAGGGCTCTGGGCTGCGGGGGCTGGCTCAGGGTGGTGCTGGGGATGAGGAGCTTGGGGTGTAGGAGGGTGCTCTAGGCTAGGGCCGAGGCGGTTGGAGGACAGGAGGGGATTCAAGGCTGGGGCAGTAGGTTGGAGGGCTGGGGGGTGAGAGCTCCAGCTGGGGATGGGCTCGGGGGTGGGGCTGGGGATGAGGGGTTTGGGGTGCAGGAGGGGGCTCTGGGCTCGTATAGAGGGGTTCGGAGGGCAGGAGGGGGATCAGGGCTGAGGCAAAGGGTTGGGGCATGGGAGGGGGCAAAGGGGCAGGCTCTGGGTGGAGCTTACCTCAAGCATCTCCCAGAAGCAGCAGCATGTCCCCACTCCGGCTCCTACACGGAGGCGCAGCCAGGCGGCTCTGCACACTGCCCTGTCTGCAGGCGCCACCCTCGCAGTTCCCATTGCCCACGGTTCCCGGCCAATGGGAGATGCAGAGCTGGGGCTTGGGGCAGGGGGCAGTGTGGAGAGCCCCTTGGTTGCCCCTACACGTAGGAGCCAGAGGAGGGACATGCTGCTGCTTCCAGGAGCCGCGTGGAGCCATGGCAGGCAGCGAGCCTGCCTTAGCCCCACTGCGCTGCCGACCAGACTTTTAACAGCCTGGTCAGAATTCTTTTAGCAAAGATCCTATCAGTTATACCTGTGCAAATTAGCTTGAAAACAATAGGGCCACAGGGAAACGGCTGATTTTGTTCGGCAAAACCTCTATCACTGATTGCGATGCAGAAGAAGGAAGCTTATTTTCTTCTGTGGTGTTCAGCTTGCTTACCAAAATGACGGCTGTACATGTGCCTGAGAGATTCATGGTAGGCACGTTGCAATAAATCAAACACTTAAAAAGGTATTGAGGAGTTTGGGAAAGCCTACTGGGTGGCTTGGAACATCAGAATTAGAAACCAAGAAAATCAACTCTCCTGTTGCACATCTAGAGAGAGAGATTTCTCCCACTGCGCTTGCTTATTATAACTGACATTTCTATAGCAACTAACTACAGTGCAGTATAAATACAGCATGTGTCTGAGCTAGAAGAGCATGGAAATTATACATGCATGTGTAAATATTTTACAACCGATGAAGGTGAAAAGACTATTAAAAAGCTGTTGATAGATTAGTAAACGCATTTTAGAGTTTTGAAAAACAAGTTGGCATTTCTAAGCACTTTAAATGCAGATAGTTAACTGTTATTTTCAATGGCCACATCTCACTTACTTTATATGAGGTCATATCTTTTA